ATACTAAGGGTAGGTGTCCGTTCTCATCTACACCCATTATAAATTTAATTTCGTAATCCATGTCGTTTAAGTAGATCAGGAAATCGTCAGTATCTATTGCTGAACAAACAAGCTCTCGAATTTGCCTAAGATCAGTAATTGGGACTTAAGGTTTACAATCAATCATGATCTTGAGGATGTTATCGAGCTGTATATATTTTACGTTCCCCTTAAATTTTAACTAATTTTAACTGCGACTAAACCTAAGGCCACTCATTGGTTTTTATATCTGCCATGAAAGATTCATTCGTCACCAATTAAATTTTCAAAAAGAAATCCTTATGAATTCTTTATGTTCGTAATTGCAGAGACACTGGTATATGGAGGCCTGTTTGAAATCTGTGATATAAATTAACTTTTCCATATACAATTCAATACAAGTTCTCGAATTAACCTACGATCAGTACTTGGGACTTAATGTTTACAATCAATATTGATCTTGATGATAGTGTTGAGACGTATATATTTTACGTTTATTGATAATTTAATAACACGATGTTTGCTTTAGTACATGATTTCATGGTCCTATTGGAAATTTGAATGACTCAGTGAGGGCTTTTACTTTTTAGTTATTATTTAAGAATATTGTTAACTACTATGCCACATGGCAACGCGGCAAAGAGTCTCGATGAATTGCTTAGGTAAGTCTATATAATAAATGAGAACCCTAAATTAATCATGGAAATATAATGGAATGTGAGCCTGCGCATTTGTTTACGGTATATAATAGATTAGAAATCGGTTGGGTAGAGATGTATATATGTAAATTGTAAATGCTGGTCTTCCGAATTTATTTTCTAATAATGCATTTTGGATTAATGTAGGGGTTAATGAGCTTTGCGTCTCGCATTTGTTCATATTCGTGACCAGGAATTTAGAGGATTACTTAAGAATTATTTATTTTAAAATTCTATAAAATTGATCAGATGGCTGTGTCACTCCAATAGAGTCTGATTACCATCATATAAGCTGTCAAAACATAAGAGAATTACTTATGAGTTGTAGTTTCATTAACATGTAGGAGGAGAGAATATTTCGAAATAATATATTGAGCAGATTTTTTAAGAACGATGTTACAGGTAAAAAATATAAACTATAATTTATCTAATTGTTCAGGAAATGATATATGATCTTCTCTTGGTTCTGATTATTAGCTAATATTGCCTTCTTTCATCTATGAAGGCAATCATTCACGGGTGATTAATTAAACATTCCTTCACAGACCTTTATGTGCAGTTTCACCCTAGTTTATTCTGGTAACTAATTCTTGATTATCCTTCTTGATCCTCGCCTTTGAGAATTTCTGTTTATCGTCTACAAGATAAATTATTGCCTTATGCCTTAATCTTTTTAGTTTTTATAATTGTCCTAAGTGTATAACATAATATGTAAAATAGCCTTTTGCTTGAGCTTGCCTCTGCATCATTTTTTGCTATTTTGTATTTATTTCATTTAGTTTGATCCCTATTCGTTCCAAATCAAATGCTGGCTTACTTAACTTTCAGTGATATTTATCTTTAGATATTTGAGAACACTTTTTACCCGACCTTGTCACTCTTAAATATGCGGGTGGAGGGAGACAATTTACACTTCCATGAAGTTAATTAGTAGAAAAAATTTAATCCTTTATGATATTTTTTTATTCTGTTTTTATTTTTCCACTGTAGGCCTCTTTGATCGTCAGCACCCTCCTAAGCGAATAATTGAATCGTCTCCATTACATATCAGTTTAAAACCGATAGCTGCTTGGTCTGGCCAACTACATGTTACCACACCTCGCTACTATCGCTACAACATAACTCTGCCTTCGGCCCTTTCCTCTGTAGGAGTGCTGCTTCGTCGACACACAATGCCTACCTTTGTACAACACGACATTTTCGACCGCGTCACTGCACGTGGACTTGCCCCCATGGACTCTACTCAAATAAACCAATACCGTTCATTCGATCAGTTTTCGTTCCATCCTTCAGCTCCTGCGAAGATGATACCGCGTTATCGAGCCCGCCGAAATTCCGCAATAACTGCTGTCAGGGCAACTGACAATCAGGATATCCGATTGAATAGAACAAAAAGCAACTTACTAGATAACAGACCTGCTTCGCATCTATTTGATCGACAAAACTCAATTTCGCATGACCGGGTAGGATACCTCGAATCTCTTGGCAATTTTATGAAAGACGTTGCTTGGGAAGTGACAAGACGTAACAACCTATCTCTGATAAATTCTGCCTCCCCCAAAATTACTACGAGGCGATGGCGTCGGGGCACTGACACTGGTGGCAATATTGATGACTTTGTTAATCCAACAAGCGGTTTGAGCTTGATCAAGAGCTCGCTTGACCGAAGCGATTTTTACTATATGGTAAAAAATTTAGATTATGCAATAACTATTTTCTTGTCAGCCTTTGCTTTGCTGTAAATTGACGATTATTCTTATTTAATCTTATTATATTTTTTCCCTTTAATTTTTTATCGATATAAATTAGCCTGCTTCTATGAGTTTTTTATTTCTACCGTCTTACATTTTTGTTTTAAAATTTAAATCATTCGTCCTCCTGTCATAGCCTCGACACCTTTTGCCTTTCTATTGCAGGTCCCTCGTAAGACAAGCAGAATCCATCATTTTGAGGAAGGCTATTGGTTTATTACAATTGTTAATGATCAACCTAGACATGAAAATGTCATTTTTGAAGTTGGTCCCATAAGTAAGTTATCCAACTTTTCTTTGGCACCCACACCATGCCAATCGGCATAGTTTTTATTTAACCCATCACTTTTCATATATGTAAGTGGTTCAGTTATTTTATGGCTCTTAGTTACATTTAAACTCTATTTTTTTATCCAACTCCATTATATTATTATTTTTATGTAACTGATTTAATATGGACTTTATGTGACCGCATTAATTAAGAGTATTTTATTCCTCTTAAAATTATTGTAAATTCTTACAAACGTAATATCCTTATTCTTTGTTACCCTTTTTCAAATGTATACTTGCATTGATTTAGCATAAACAACAAAATACTGCGGGTATTTCGACTAAAGTTGTGCTTTTTGAATCAATGTAACATCCACTAGGCGTATGAAAATTGCTCTTTTAATTCCTTTTTTATACTATCAAAATTTATTGTTCTACCAATTTAAGCTCCTACAATAGAGTTTCAGTTAACCAAACACTGCATAAAATATATTATCTACCCCTCTTCCGTTAGTATCTCCTCTTCATCTGTCAAAACACTGGTGTGCGCTCTGTATTACTTTGCCTAAAGTTGTCAGATAGTTAAGGACAACGAGTATAGAAATCTAAAATTCTTATAAAACAGTGCTATTAGCGCAACAGCCCATATATACTTACATATATTTTTTAAAGTACCAAATCCTTCATTCTTTAATGCATCATCTAATGAATTCCAAAATTTTATTAGGATCCCAAAACTGAATTTTCATCGACAGATTTGCATGTATTAATGTATTAATTTTATTCTTATATTTTTCTTCTTTATTTCGTGCTTAGAAATATAGTTTGTTATCCCACCTGTTCTACAATCTAATATGTATTCGGTCGCCAATTAGCTCTTACGTTCGATTAGTTTTACTCTTCAGTATTTCTGGATGATAAAAGATCGTTAATTTTCCAAACTTAATATTCTATTTTTCAATTTTAATTGACATAACTCTCATAAATCTAAGCTACGAGGGTCTTTATATGGATGTTGGATTATCTTTCATTTCGCTTAAAGACATGAGAGGAAGCCTTACATATCACAAGGATTTTTAATAGTTGCCTTTTGGCAATGCCATATCAATGAATTAACTATTATACTATATAAGTAATTTTTTATCCTTTAAGGAACAAATATTGATATGTTAGTTGCACCTGAGACCTTGGTTGATTAATTCATAGCTGATTTGCATATAATATCACAATACATCTTGGCGTCCTCTGAATTATCTCATAAGCCTCTATTAATTTGGATTTAGTGATACTTAGACGGGTTTATTTATTTATTTATTATTCCCACCTCTCTTTTAGATCCGAGAGGTTTTCTATTGCCTAAAGTAAATAATTCTGATGTGTTTGGATCCCCCATTGCGTTTTTACTTTATACCATGTTATGCTAGTGTGGTTCTTACGTATATTGCATAAATCCGCGCTTGCCAAGAGATCATTTTGAAGTAAAAGCATGTTCTCCTTTTGCAACGATTATTTCAGAGGTAGGATACACACTTTTGGCTAGCCCATTCAATGTTTAGCCTTTGAAATCATGACTATTCCTCTACGGGGTTTCTCGCTTATCTCAAATTGTTGCATCCCATCAGGAAGTCTGGCTTGTGTGTTAGTCAACGGGAGGTCTCCTCTATCATGTTCTCATGTTCTCTTAGACTAGTCTTTCTTTATAGCCTGAAATCTCATTTTGCCAACCCTTTCTTAATAACTGTATATGTATTGTCGTATATATATCTTGTTCCTTAATCTTATATTTACACAGAAATTCAATTGAAATTTAGTTTCGCATTTGCTATTAGAAATAATAATTAATTTGCAATTAATCAATCAAAACCTTGATGCAATATCATTTATCATGCTATACTTTTTTCTCAGTATTGAATCTGTTAATAAATTGCTCTTATTTCCATTTCGTTTAATAATTTTTAAAAATCTTGTTGCTCATTTTACATCACTTTTTAATTTCTGGTATTTCTTTAAAACCTTGTTAGCTCTCTTGGTTCAGAACTCGGTAATTACATCACCGGTTTTCATTATTTTCAGCGGAATCATGTTAGATTATTTTTTCTGATCTATTTGAACTGGTTTTTTGTATCCAAGATCTCTTCTGCACTATAGTTATCATCAAGCATTCACACTTACGGCATCTCGCTGTACTTTATAGTAACTTATTCACTTTTTTGCTCCTAATGGAATTGGCATTCTTACTGTATAGATGATATGAGCTGCTTTTAAAATGGATAGTGATTTAAGCCTGAATTATGCAATTGATCTGAACCCACTAATTGTCAGTTCATAATATTTTTTTAATTAATCCTCTATCGCATGCTATTTTTTGAGCCATTTTTATGACATTTTCTTTATTTGCAAGATAACCATAATTATTAGCTCAGTACATTTTGATTGTTATACGTTAAGG